AACTGAGCCATTATTCGTACTCAGATAATTGCAGTGTAGAATGAAACAGTGGACCAGGAGCGGCCGTTCAGCAGCCAGCTGTCACCTGCTCCTGGAACCTGCGTATGTGCATTTGACGCCAGAGAGAAATACAGTCGTCCTCGTGCTCTCCTCTTCATCTCTCTAAATTAGTATGAGTCAAGATTAGTGACAAACAGTTCATTGAATACAGCGCGTGTAGCCTCTTGTCGATGACACATCAGAGCCATAATTACACCTGTTAATCACCCACTGAGACCACGTTCACACTGCAGACAAATCTGGCCCAACGTTTTTTTTTTTTTTACCCATATCTGATGTTTTGTAGACCGTTGTTTCCCAAAGACTGGGTCGTGGCCCTCATTTGGGTCTCAAGAATTGTTTTTTGGGTCATCTCGCATCATGTTTCCCAGGAGTTTACTAATAATGTCTATTGACTCAGGTGGCAAAGGTTTGTGACTTTTAAAATACAGGTCTTTAGTAAACACAGTTGTAGACTACATAAATGATCCAATCAGAAGAACCCGACATGTTTACCTTGTTTGTCTTGAGGGCAGTTACTCTGTGCAGCTACAATACACGGTCCTTTTTTTATAATTTTCTTGCTTTCAGGGAAACGAGTAGATACTAAAGACTGTTGTCTGTTCAGCCAGATGATTGGTCCTCTCGAGTCACCTGATGATGACGTCGCATGAGCGAGTGTATAATAGCAGTCAGCTGTTAGACAGGCGGTGGAGCTGAGACGTCATGTGTTTCTGTCAGTGAATTATTCCTCGATTTATATTTGATTTTTTTATTTTTATATATTTATATATTTATTTTTATATGCATGTATATATGTATATATACATAATATATGAATATATATGTATAACCTAGAGTATAAATAATACAATATATATATCTGTTGTTTTGGATCTTAAATCATGTTCTGAATGCTGCTGTTGTTAAAGTCAGTGATGATTCACGACTTCACTTCAGGAAATACAGAGGGCAGAATAAAAATGTGCATCATGTGGTGATGTTGTCTAATCAATAACAGCACAACAGTCCTCCACCCAGTGCAGCGTAGACGTGTGCGGTGGTTCCTCGTGGCTCAGCACACTGTCCCAGAAAGCTGTGGCTCACTTCCTGCTAAATTTAACCAGACTCTGACCCACTTTGTCCCAGAAGTCTCCCATACAGTACCTAAGCCTGTGATGCATTCAGGGACATGACAACTGTATTTACTCACCGCTGCCACAAACATGTGCAGGCTGATGTATTAACAGCTGCCGGTCCTGCCTTGATTTAGATGTGAAAGTTAAATCCAGCTTCAGATCTGGGTTTGATTGACGTCTTGCACCAGAACAACCGATGTCGAAACAAAGTCAACGTCTTATGTTACAGTTCATGTTCATTGTGACCAAACTTCCTATTCACTGATGTAACAGGATCACAGTATCTACTCCTTCACTCTCACTGCTTAAATATCTTTGTATCAAATAGACATGACCCAAAAAATAGAAAATCTAAAATACTGGGAAAGTCTAAACGTTGTAGGAGTAAAATAAAAAATATATATATACTGTATTTCTTCATCAATTGAAGTACCTTCTTAGGACTCAAATATTCTGTAAATGATGCTAAAAGAAATAAATTCAGATTAAGCTAACACATGAATTGAACCAGTAAAATGACAGTGTTGTAGCTGGGTGCAGCTCTGGACTGAATTCTGTGGAACAAGCTGCCGTGGCATACTTGTCATACTTGTCCCCTGAGGGTGTGTTATGGAAGAACGGTGTTAAAAAAAAAAAAAACGTCGAAGCATCTCAGACTACAGGAATATGACTGTCAGCCTCTGTTTGCCGGAAAAATTGGATTTTCCTCATGTACATTTTTATTGGGTCACAATATCTTTACATCACATGACGTTCCGTAACTGCAGCTCATTAGCCGTCGTGTCTGGCCCTTAGGAACTCTTCAGTCTTTATTTACTGACCCCGTTTATTCACAGCGTGTTTACAAACAGGATCTGGTTCTGACATGAAACCTCAGGCCGTTCTTCTTCCCTCAGACTCTATCTCCCGCCGACATGTTTCAGGTCACAGAAGGGGTGTTTGGCATTAACTTAGAGATTTGCTGCTGTAGTTTATTCAGGAAATATGTTAAAGTATTGATATTTATTTAATATTAATTTATATTTATTAATAAATAAAGCTAAAGTACAAAAGTTTGGATTCATTTATCTACATTCATCTTGTGGAAATAGCAAAGTTTTTTACTTATGTTGGTTCTAAAATAATTAGAATTCCCTGACACGACTACGTCTCTCTGAGATGTCCTCAAATGCATCTGCCGCTCCATGTCCCAGAGCTGATGATGTCACTCTCTGCTCCAGACTTCCTTTCTCTACATTGACACGAATAGTGAATAATGAGTTGATGTTTGAGTTGAAGTTTGAGTTGATGATTTTATATTTTCTCGAGTCTCCGGTGAAGTCTTTAACTTGTTTTTATTTTCTCTCTGCGTGTGCAGCTCCTGAGTGAGAAGATCAGTGGAGCAGAAGGAACCAAACTGGATGAAGACTTCATGGAGATGGAGAGAGTGAGTAGAGGACGTGTGTTTGCTCTCTACGTAGTAGAACTTATTCTACTGGTTCTTCATAAAAGTAAATCTCTTCACTGAGAAGCTTATGTTTTTTTTTCAGTTAGAACTGAACTGAGAAGAACAGATTATTTTGTCACAGGTTTAACACTGATATTAAATGGATTTCTGTCATTTCTGTCCCAAAACAGAAAGTTGAGGTGACCAACAAGTCTGTGTTCGACCTCTTATCCAGAACCCAAGAATATCTCCAGCCTAATCCAGGTAAAACTAAGATCACAGGTTTTATCCCCCCCAAAAAATCAAATCATGAAATTCTAAAACCTCTAATGCCAAAACTTTTCCTGCACAGCTTCTCGAGCCAAACTCAACATGCTGAACACGATGTCCAAGATCCGAGGGCAGGTGAAGACCACGGGCTACCCTCAGACTGAAGGCCTGCTGGGAGACTGCATGCTGCGCTACGGCCATGAACTGGGAGACAATTCAGTCTTTGGTATGGAGTCCTGAAATCGAAACATTTTTGAATACATTGTAGACCTTTATTCTGGATTCATCAGAATCTGAGCTTTCCTAATAAATGAAAAAAATACAATAATCTGTAAAACTATTATTATGAGCTTGAAATACTAAAGAATTATAACAGGATTTGACACTGAAGCTAAACTGAGTTCATAGAGAAATTGATTTTCAGCTCACTGAGGTCCAGTAGCTGTTGGTTTAATGAAGTCTAATTTAATAAGAGTGTGAAACTATGGAAAATAAAATCAGGAATTTAAAGCACTAACGTCTGACTGCTTCGTCTGTACCCCTCTCTGTCCTTTAGGGGGCGCTCTGGTGGATGTGGGCGAGGCCATGAGGCAGATGGCGGATGTGAAGGATTCCCTGGACATAAATGTCAAACAAAACTTCATCGATCCTCTGCAGAATCTGCAGGACAAGGACCTCAAAGAGATCACGGTAACACTGCAGCAGTGGATCTTCAGTTATTGATTTTTTTTTTTTTTAATTCCCAGAGAAGTGATTATAAGATGTGCTGACGTGTCACTGGTGGCGTTCACAGCACCACCTGAAGAAGCTGGAAGGCCGCAGGTTAGACTTCGACTACAAGAAAAAGCGTCGTGGAAAAATTCAAGAAGAGGAGATTCAACAGGCTGTGGAGAAGTTTGAAGAGAGCAAAGAGTTGGCAGAGAGGAGCATGTTCAACTTCCTGGAGAATGATGTAAGAGCAGAATAAATGATTATTTTTTCATAATAGTTTTCCATTGATTACTGACATATAATAAAAAAAAGTAAAGAAGTTTTATGAACGATGTTGTTTTGGAATTTTCTGACTCTATGGAGCAAATGTATATTCATTTGCTTTTATTGGTTTGGCCGACAGGTGGAGCAAGTGAGCCAGCTGTCAGCGTTAATCGAGGCAGCGTTGGAGTATCATCGACAGTCATCTGAAATCCTGGAGGAGCTGAGCGGCAAGCTGCACAGAAGGTAATGAGAAATAAGAAGAAGAAGAATTCCCAGGGTTTTACTGAAACTACATTTTCTTGCAAAGAATGAAGTTAAGATTTGAATTCAGCAAATGGAAACACAAAAGACCAATGATACTGTGAACAAAAAAGAAAACAAATGTAGTGAGTGACAGCTGTGTTTGTCTCCCAGGATATCCACAGCCAGCGGTCGACCTAAGAGAGAGTTCAAACCAAAGTCCATCAGGAGCAGCATTGAAACACTGGACAACAACCAGCACAACGGCCTGACCCACAGCTCCTCCATCAGATCCACTGGTACAGCTCTCACACACACCGTCACCGTCTTCATCACGTCTGTGTTTTTATTTTCTTTTTTTTGCCCCGACTTTTCCAGTCATCGTCATCCACTATCTTTTCTGTTGTCCCTCACAGATATCCAGATCAACAACACAGTTAATGGCAAAAGTAGGTATTTGTTCATGAAGTATTCATGAAGTAGTGAGTGTTGCAGAGATTTACCTCCAGTTTATCTACTGTTCATGTCTCTACATGTACAGTATATTCTAATAGGAAACAATATGTCTTCAGTCACATATACTGTGTGTATATATATATTCTATATGTGATACAATATAGTTTTATTTTTATCAAAAATATGGCATAATTTATTATCATAAATATACTGAGTTAGCTTTACATGGAAGTTTGTTTTCATTTTAATAAAAAACAAATCCTGTTTTTATTTCCCAAATTCACTGAATGCATTTTGCTTCAATTGACTTTACCCACAAAAATAAACAATATATTGCATATAAATAAACTGAAGAATTGAAGTGAAGACAGTGATCAACTAATGGAGTAGTAGTTGTAGTAGTTGTTGTAGTATTACCTTGGTCACCTATTATCGTGGCGTTTGTACTTTGTTTTGTTGGCTTTGTACCATTTCCATCATCATCTCCATTTGTCTCTACATCCGACCCAGCTGATCATATAACCACTGCTCCACTGTCATGGCCCGAGAGCCCCGCCTCCAATGGAAACCTTGAGCGTGAGTAGTTCCTGAGTCCTGACTCGGCATCAGTCTGTCAGTCACTCAGTCTGTAGTTACACGATTCATAACAAATATCTGGTGATATCTGTGTGTTGGCCTATAAATAAAGATTAAAAGGTTTTGACAGTGCTGCCATCTACTGGGCTGGAATGGGCATTTGTCTGCCAGAAATTAGAGAACTGAGGTGTAATGGAGGATATTTTGTTCTCTTTTTTGTTTTGTTCACAGAGACTGAAGTCCTGGACCAGCCCTGCTGCCGCGCTCTCTACGACTTTGAGCCGGAGAACGAAGGCGAGCTGGGCTTCAAGGAGCGCGACATCATCATCCTCACCAACCAGATTGACGAGAACTGGTACGAGGGTATGATCAGCGGTCAGTCCGGCTTCTTCCCCATCAACTACGTGGAGGTCATCGTCCCACTGCCTCAGTGAATCCTGACACGCGTCTTCATCAACACTCGGCCTCCGTCCTCAGCTCTACTGGAGCCTGAAAAAAAAAAAAAAACCCTCCGGAGGATCAGGCTGAAACTGTAGGGAGAACAACCTGTCTTCTGATATTTAACCGGAGTCGGAGTTTTAGTCGTAGGTCCGTCAGACGTTGCTGATTCATTTTTGTTTGTCTGTATTTATGAGACTGAAATCCAAGCCATTAAGTTCTGCACTCTGCCGGGTCAGGTCAGACCGAGGTCGTGAGGTCACAGCTCCGTGGTCAGATCGTTTCCGCGTCTTCTTAGAATGTGCTCGTCGTCGTTGCTGCCCTCGGCTTGTCTGCGCACCGACAGAAATCACGACGCATCAGGTGAAAAATCACAATCAATCAGTGTCACGTTGCACACGGTTTTGTTCACCGTCACGTTTGGAACACGACACACTGGACCAGTTCAGGAAACCTGTCAGATCCATGTTAGAAAATGACATCTCGTCAGATAAATCAGGTAACAGAATCAGTCAGATGAAGAAAAAATAACTTTTTAATCACAGAATCTCTCATTATTTTAAATGAGTTTTTAACCAAACAAGTTTGAAATCTCAGGCTTCGTTTAAGCACAATTTAGGGAAAAGTCGTTCCGTTCCAGCTCAGTTCCTCTTACTGCAGTTAAATCCATCAACATCAGGTTCAGGCAAACTAACCACGTTTGATGATTCTCTGCAGTCGGTGTCTCATCACGAGTGACTGAGCGTCAGTGGCTGATTCTGATTGGATAAAACACCTAAC